CACCCTTGAATCCTCGTATGGTCCTGGTACACCAACAGTCGAGTATGAAGAGAAAATTAGGGTCATCAAAGAAGAGTTGCAACGGGACCTTGACAATCAAAAACAAGAATATGAAGAAAAGATGAAAGCACTAGAAGCATCAAACCTTGAAACTGATGTACTAAGAGCCGAGAAAAAACAGATGGAAGAAAAACTCAAAATGGTTCAAGAGGAAATGGCAAGAGTGTTAGAATCTCAGGCGTATCCACAAAAAATGAAACGATTGTCCGACGCTTCCCAATATACTTACTCACCTGATTCTCCACCTTATACAGAAGAACAATTGCGTCTTATTAGAATGGCGCTTACAAAGTGGAGACGTCAGAGATTTGTTCAAATGGCAGAAGTCATACTCAGTAATGCAGTCATACTAAAGGAAGCAAATGTTATTAGTAAAGAACTTGGTAAAAAAATACTTTATCAATTTACCATCATTGAAGATGAACCATATACTAATCCCGTATCATCTTGGGAGAGCACTTCAGCTTTGAATCAGTATAATAATAATGAAGATTCATCATTACACCTCTCTAAGAAGCCATGCATTGGCGTTAAAGTTATAGATACTAAAAATGATGTTATATATATATGGTCACTCGATAAACTTAAAAGTCGTCTACAAAAAATGCGCAATCTATATAACTTTATCGACCGTCCGCAATATAGCAAACATTTTAATTGGGAAGACCCTTTTTACGAAAATCCTTCTCCACAATATACTTTTATAGGTAGTTGTGCTGTGGGTTTGACATGTTTGCTTTTAAAAAAAGAATTTGAATGTGATGCACCAATTATTTGCAGATACTCCGGTGACCTTGCTGGTTATTGTCGTATTCGTATTAAATTTCTCACAGAGTTTGAAGAATCATCTTCGAAGGATACACCAACAACAGATGACAAACAAAAAGAAATATCTCAGAAATTGTTGGTTAATAAATTGGTTGTTTTTGAGGTTAACATTATAGAACTTTGTGGTATTTCGGAGTCACGATACGACCAAGTTCACGTACAATATAAGTTATCTTCTTTTGGGAACGTTGCACCTCTTTCTCCCGGTGAACATTTATATTGCACAGAACGTGCTAATGATTTCGGAAATTCAAAAATTACCTATAATTACAAACAAAATTTAACTATGGCTGTATCTCCTGCTATGATGGAGGTACTTACCAATGGTGTGCTTACTTTCGAAGTATTTGGTCGCGCAAAACGTATTGTATTAGAAGAAATAGAACTGTGGGATAATGAAAAAGAATGTCCATCCTATAGAAGAAACAATGGAAATGTACCTGAATCTTCAGTTCCTAGAGAGAGACGTTCAGAAGAAGAATTGGTAGCAGAAGAAAAACATGATGTGGTTGCATGGGTTCAAGTTTGCGAACTTGCTTCCACGGGAGAGTATGTGCCAGTTCAAGTCCTTTCGCAAAATTCTCTTGATCCAGGTGCATTTTTCTTACGACAAGGTCTTCAACGACGTATTGTTCTAACGTTAACACATAATTCCGGTCGACAATTTCCATGGACTAAAGTATCAAAAATGGAAATCGGTCGGGTACGGTTACTTGATGGAAAAGGACGATTGTCTGAATCACCAGTTCAGAATGATATACAGATGAATTTATTACCAACACAAACTGTCCAATTTAATAGAGATGGTACTAGTGTTGTTGTAGTCCAAGCATCATGGGATAGTACACTTCATGATTCCATTTTCCTGAACAGAACAACACATTCTAGTAGTAGAGTTTTATTAGGACTCACGTGGTACGTAGAAGCCGAAAAATGTGTAGAGCCGATCACCTTTTCCATGGACATTGCAGTGCAAGTCCAAGGTCGTGAGGCTCGACCACCATCAAAGTTGATACAACTATTAAATCAATCAAAAGTATTATGGAAATCTAGCGGGCTGTTTTCCGTCACACTTAAACCTCCAATGACTCGAAAAATTTCCGAACTTTGGCGGCTTAATACCGCAAATAAATATGTTCGTGGGGAAGAACTTTTGATAGAGTGGAAACCCCGTGGAGTGTCATTAGTTAAAGATTATAAAAAAATTAGTGAACTTATACGTAGAAGGGAAGCAGTTGATTGTATGAAGCAAGTTATTGCGTTAAAAGGAACAAAAGAATATGAGCAACTTAAAAGTCCCGAAGATTTACGTAAATATGTTTTAACACTTTGGACGAAAAAATGGGGAACAACTAAAGAGGTTAGATTTGAATTTTAGAATTTTTATTTCAAAACCTATTGCTCTAGTTTAATTATAAATTAACTAATTTTGTTTTGTAATAGATCGTTATAAACCAAGAGCCACCACTTTCAGGACTCTATCAAGACATAGAATTATCAAGGGGAAAGAAACCAACTAAGTTGGTTGCACAAGTTCGAATGGTGGCAAAAACGTGAGTGAAATTGTGATATTGTTATCACTATTATCACTGATTCTAATAATATTTCTGTTATCAATAGCGAATACGTGTTGACGCTAATGAAAAAATTTAAGGATTCAATGTATAAGAACAATTGTTAAGATGAAAAGAAATATATTTGTAACTGCTAAAGATTTTACCTGAAGCATATCCTCTAAATCTCTCTTATAATCAACTCTAACCGATGCCAAGTTAATAACACCTTGTTCCTCGGTTTCTTTAGGTGATTCGTAGATGAATAGGTATGGTCTACATACACATCATAAAAAATTGTTATAAATACGAATAATGCATCGGTTCATAAGGACTATTATAGAATTAATTGATTAGATAAACGTACCTTCTCAAGACGTACCACCTCTTAACCCAATGATCATCGTTAGCATCTTCAGGAGTAAATAGATACCCCTTTTTAGTTATCGTATCGCTAATGATAACAGAAATATTATTAGAATCAGTGATAATAGTGATAACAATATCACAATTTCACTCACGTTTTTGCCACCATTCGAACTTGTGCAACCAACTTAGTTGGTTTCTTTCCCCTTGATAATTCTATGTCTTGATAGAGTCCTGAAAGTGGTGGCTCTTGGTTTATAACGATCTATTACAAAACAAAATTAGTTAATTTATAATTAAACTAGAGCAATAGGTTTTGAAATAAAAATTCTAAAATTCAAATCTAACCTCTTTAGTTGTTCCCCATTTTTTCGTCCAAAGTGTTAAAACATATTTACGTAAATCTTCGGGACTTTTAAGTTGCTCATATTCTTTTGTTCCTTTTAACGCAATAACTTGCTTCATACAATCAACTGCTTCCCTTCTACGTATAAGTTCACTAATTTTTTTATAATCTTTAACTAATGACACTCCACGGGGTTTCCACTCTATCAAAAGTTCTTCCCCACGAACATATTTATTTGCGGTATTAAGCCGCCAAAGTTCGGAAATTTTTCGAGTCATTGGAGGTTTAAGTGTGACGGAAAACAGCCCGCTAGATTTCCATAATACTTTTGATTGATTTAATAGTTGTATCAACTTTGATGGTGGTCGAGCCTCACGACCTTGGACTTGCACTGCAATGTCCATGGAAAAGGTGATCGGCTCTACACATTTTTCGGCTTCTACGTACCACGTGAGTCCTAATAAAACTCTACTACTAGAATGTGTTGTTCTGTTCAGGAAAATGGAATCATGAAGTGTACTATCCCATGATGCTTGGACTACAACAACACTAGTACCATCTCTATTAAATTGGACAGTTTGTGTTGGTAATAAATTCATCTGTATATCATTCTGAACTGGTGATTCAGACAATCGTCCTTTTCCATCAAGTAACCGTACCCGACCGATTTCCATTTTTGATACTTTAGTCCATGGAAATTGTCGACCGGAATTATGTGTTAACGTTAGAACAATACGTCGTTGAAGACCTTGTCGTAAGAAAAATGCACCTGGATCAAGAGAATTTTGCGAAAGGACTTGAACTGGCACATACTCTCCCGTGGAAGCAAGTTCGCAAACTTGAACCCATGCAACCACATCATGTTTTTCTTCTGCTACCAATTCTTCTTCTGAACGTCTCTCTCTAGGAACTGAAGATTCAGGTACATTTCCATTGTTTCTTCTATAGGATGGACATTCTTTTTCATTATCCCACAGTTCTATTTCTTCTAATACAATACGTTTTGCGCGACCAAATACTTCGAAAGTAAGCACACCATTGGTAAGTACCTCCATCATAGCAGGAGATACAGCCATAGTTAAATTTTGTTTGTAATTATAGGTAATTTTTGAATTTCCGAAATCATTAGCACGTTCTGTGCAATATAAATGTTCACCGGGAGAAAGAGGTGCAACGTTCCCAAAAGAAGATAACTTATATTGTACGTGAACTTGGTCGTATCGTGACTCCGAAATACCACAAAGTTCTATAATGTTAACCTCAAAAACAACCAATTTATTAACCAACAATTTCTGAGATATTTCTTTTTGTTTGTCATCTGTTGTTGGTGTATCCTTCGAAGATGATTCTTCAAACTCTGTGAGAAATTTAATACGAATACGACAATAACCAGCAAGGTCACCGGAGTATCTGCAAATAATTGGTGCATCACATTCAAATTCTTTTTTTAAAAGCAAACATGTCAAACCCACAGCACAACTACCTATAAAAGTATATTGTGGAGAAGGATTTTCGTAAAAAGGGTCTTCCCAATTAAAATGTTTGCTATATTGCGGACGGTCGATAAAGTTATATAGATTGCGCATTTTTTGTAGACGACTTTTAAGTTTATCGAGTGACCATATATATATAACATCATTTTTAGTATCTATAACTTTAACGCCAATGCATGGCTTCTTAGAGAGGTGTAATGATGAATCTTCATTATTATTATACTGATTCAAAGCTGAAGTGCTCTCCCAAGATGATACGGGATTAGTATATGGTTCATCTTCAATGATGGTAAATTGATAAAGTATTTTTTTACCAAGTTCTTTACTAATAACATTTGCTTCCTTTAGTATGACTGCATTACTGAGTATGACTTCTGCCATTTGAACAAATCTCTGACGTCTCCACTTTGTAAGCGCCATTCTAATAAGACGCAATTGTTCTTCTGTATAAGGTGGAGAATCAGGTGAGTAAGTATATTGGGAAGCGTCGGACAATCGTTTCATTTTTTGTGGATACGCCTGAGATTCTAACACTCTTGCCATTTCCTCTTGAACCATTTTGAGTTTTTCTTCCATCTGTTTTTTCTCGGCTCTTAGTACATCAGTTTCAAGGTTTGATGCTTCTAGTGCTTTCATCTTTTCTTCATATTCTTGTTTTTGATTGTCAAGGTCCCGTTGCAACTCTTCTTTGATGACCCTAATTTTCTCTTCATACTCGACTGTTGGTGTACCAGGACCATACGAGGATTCAAGGGTG